GCTAATGTTTTCTTTGCTTCTATAAAATTTCCAGATGATGATATTATTATCCCAAGATAAGTATAACTTGTCACACAGCAAATAATTGTATTTTTGTAATAGAAGTATTCAGATGTTTTTAATGATTTATTCCTAAAAATTAAGATTTTTGTTTTAGATAAATTTATTTCTAGGTTCCATTCAGAACATTTGATCCTAGCTATATAACAATTAGATATAGAGGTAGATAAGGTAAAATTGAGATGTGATCATTTAGCCCATAGCATTATGAACACCCTATGCAATTCACAGGTTATTCCCGTAACTGAAAGTATTAAAAAAAAACCTGTTTCAATCAAAGTACAAGAATGCAATTGGCTGTCAGGTAATCACTCAGACAAACATTGATACTACCATGTTCATCTGTAGTAGTGTTCATGCTACACAAAGTACTGGCTAAGATTTAAGCTGATTTAGGCTTATTTCACGTGTTTGCATTTTGGCTAGACCCAATTGTGTCCATGCACTGGGAGGGCAAGTCTTTAGCATTGGCTAAGGGGCGCCATCAGTCGGTGACCTTTGTTAAGCTGCTGTTAAGAAGTTTTTCTATTCCTCAGCAAGGAGTCCAACTGTTTTAAGATTTTGCTGTCTTTCCATATACTCAGTAAAGCTTTTGACTCTTCGTCGCTCCAGTTTTTGCAAGGGAATGAAGTTTCGTACACACTGAGCTTGGTTGCTCACATGCATAATACTCACACCCAAAGGTCGCCACAGAGGGCACTTAGCCCTGGGCTAAGCGTGCTAAGGAGCTGTGCGTGAACGCAACTTATATCTAAGCTTTCAGATGATGTATAGGTTGCTTAGTAACTTGAGAGAGTGTCTGAATCATAGATTCATTTTGAACTCGTTTAATTTCTCTGTTGTCTTGATCCCTTTCAATGACCAACTTTATTGAATTGTCATGTGCAGTATTATTTCAGTTCAATTCTCAACATAGTGATCAGCCAACAGTTTTCTACGAGTTGAGTATTCATGGGAAATAATATCTTTGATCACAGAATACCACAATAAAACAGTAATCACAAATTCAGTATGAAAATGAATCAATCATATTTATGGATTTGAATATCTATTTTAATCCTGATTACAGGTGAAAGGATTACTATTATGTTGAAAAAAACGTGACACTCTAACAATCTTACTTTTCATCAAATTAATTTAAAATTTAAATGCAATCATATTTAAATGCTGGAACCACAAGTATGCAATGTACCTAAGGAGGACATGATTCAGCATGTGATGAAGTAAATACTAGTAGTATTTTATACAATAAATTAATTAACTTGTTATAAATGCCACATTTGATTTGTAATTTATGCAGCTCCTATTTAT